CATGAGCCAGGCTAAAAATAATCCCTGGCAGGAGATGTCAGAGAGTATCTAGAGAGAGGACATAAATGCCTCTAGAAACAGTAAATGCCTCCCTCAGATGCCTTATCAGAGTGAACACACCTTTCCTTAATTCTTCCCCCTCTCTCCAGTCTTTCATTTTATCTTTATCACCCCTAAAATTCTGCATGTCCTGCTGTTCCTCTCCTCCTTTCTGTGTCTCCCATCCCCCCATTCCTCTCATTTCTTGGTTTCTCACTCCTTTCTATCTCCCTTCTACCTATTGCTGGCCTGGAAAGGTTCTCAGTAATGGTTTACACTTGTATCTACTCTATCTCTTTCCATTTTCTTCACAAAGTCTATTCCTCTTTCCCGCTCCTCAGTGTCTCCTCCCTCTTCCTTATTCAGCATCACCTTCTTCTTGATCTACTCTAGTCTTGCTAAGGCATGCTTATAGATCTTACTCAGAGTGAGGATCAGAGTGAGGCTCATGGAGAATGTGGGCATAGGTGTCCTGGCCAATGAGAGTTCCAAAATGTCACACAGTTATACTTCTTTCAAACTCCTTTCTAGTTTTCCTTGCACTGTCCTCCTTTATTGAAATCTGCATTGTTTGTTCATATATATTATACATACACTATAGACCTCTCTTTCTCTCTCTCTGTGTGTGTGTGTGTGTGTGTGTGTGTGTGTGTGTGTGTATGTATGTATATATATATATGTAAAAACAAAATTGTATGCCTGTTTTCAAGTGAGGGTGCATATTATTGCAGCTCAAGAATTTGAGATTGACTTTAATTAGCCCTTGCTACCAGGCACATTATAGTCAGGTCAGGTGCTGTGTAAAATCTGCATGCAACTCTCCAGATCTACCTTACTGCCAGCCTATTACACTCTTTGCTAATCTGTGCATTCAAGAATGACCTAGACAATCTCTCTGCTTTATTTTGCCTAGATTCTTTTTCTTTGCCACAGCATTTTTACTAGTCTCTGAACACTGTGCTGTGGGAGCCACATTGAAATATGTTTATATTTGGATCAAGGAATCCAGTGGCTACTAACAATGATTACACTGGACATTTACAGTCTCTTGCTTGTGGTTTATTCGGGGGGGGGGGGGGAGGTAAATGAATAAAATATTTAGTCAGGTGAGTTTCTGTATTTTCACATGATTTATCAGGATTGCCTCAAAGATTAATTACTTATTATTACAGCTCACTGATGCCCTTTAAGAATTCATTGGTAGGAGATTAGGATATAAAAGAGTACTTACTCCTCTCCTCCCTTTCCTTAGTATCTCTCCTCCTCTTATCTTTCTCCCTTTCAGCCCTTTGTTTAATCGCCCTTTTTAAAGGGTCTGTAATCTCTGTAAATTGCAACAAGCAAAGGTAGACTTGACCTGACATAAGTAGAGGGCCATGTTTAACAAGAGAGATGAAATAATCCTGTGGCTGCATGGGTGCTCCTCATACATATCTCAGGGAACATCAGTTGTTGAGGGCAGGGAGAGAGAATATTTTAGTTAAAGCTTAATTGCCCTTTTATTCTAACTTCTAGATGTAATATATAAGGATTGGCATGACACTTTGGGATGCAGTTTGATATAGGTATGGTCAAAAGATCATTTTCTCTTAAACTCTGTTGGGTTTTTAGCATGGTTATTCATTAGACCTGTTGGTTTCATATCTGTTGAATGACAGGTTTGATGCCAGATTTCTCTGTGTTCACATGTGGCGGGTAAGATGCCATACAATTTTAAGAAAAAAAAATATTTCATAACATTGAGGGAAATCATCTTCTAAATTCTTGACCTCTCAGTTCTCTATTTATATTTATTTATTAAATATATGTATACAAGTTAGAGAAGAATTTTAGATTAGAGCAATTCATCCTCTTCTATCACTATTTTTCTTTAAGGATTCTTCCCATGTTGTTCATTAGTTTCCATTACCCCGTTTATAAAATTACCAGTATAATTATTGTGCTTTTCAAATGCAGTCATGTTCAGTGTCTTTTATTCTGTAATACAGCCTTGAAATTTTTGATGTTGCCAGTTAGAAAATAAGAGGAAAGTAAAAGTCAGAGTAACAAGAATGATTGGAATTTTTTGCATATATTGTATTTCATTTAACATGTTCAGACCCTTGACATTTTCCAGAATGCTGTACAAATTAGAAGTCTGCCCACGTGAGAATATATATGCATACATGGGTGCATGCATATACACACACTTTTTTCCATTTTTCATGTCAGCTATTTTACATGGAAAGATTTTAAACTCTTGCTAAAGCAGTAGGCCAGAAGACCATTATTTGAAAAAAAAATTGTGCAACGTAGATTATATTCACATGTTAAATATGTTATACAGAAGAAGAGATAGGAATTGTCGCCTTATATATGTATGAACAGACATGCATTCATACTCTCTGTATTTTCTGGAAATGATAGAAATTATTATCCTTATGTAAAACTAGAGGGCTTATCCAGCATTGCCCAGGTCCTTAAGGGCCGAGGGCTGGTGGTATGGGAGGTACAGGAGTCAGGGCAGGGCCTTGGGGATATTGGGACTAGGGCAGGAGGCTGGGGCCAGGGAGGTTGGGAGTAAGGAGGAGCTCAGAGTGTTGTGGGGGGAGTCTGGTCTGGCAGGGCTGTCTCTCTCCCCACATCCAGCAGGGACCTTCTTTTTAGCCCCACTCCTCACGGTGCTATGGTCAAGGGCCAGGTGGTGAAAGGTTTGGGGCAGGGGCAGTGTTCCCTCTAACCCAGAGCTACTCAACTTTGAAATCCCTGAGGGCCACAATGATACTCACAGCACATGCCTAGGGCCTCAACTTAAGTATAGTTGCATATATATGTAAATATATATGCAAATAATGTTTTTCACACTAATGGGCATAAATACAAAGATTAAGGCAAGACTACATAATACGTAACATAGGCCCCATTTAAGTCAGTTTTGCTGATATTAATAAAAATGCAATATTTACCTGATTTCTACCCATATGACAGCACTTTTAATGCGCAATGACAGTCCAGGAATTTAACTATTAAAATGCATATCGCCAGAAGACCACTATATTGACTACTTTCTTGTTTTGGCTCCCACCCACGGACCGCAAACAAACAGGCCACAGGTCGCATGCAACCCATGGGCTGCATGTTGAGTAGCCCTGCTCTAAGCTGTGCAGGAGCACAACTTCTCAGGTGATTAATTAGCCCCAACTACTCAGAGGCCCAGCTGACTGACTGGGAAGGGCTGATCAATCACCTTTGAAGCTATTCTGCTTCACAGCTTAGAGCAGGCCTGGGCAAAATAAGGCCCACAGGCCTGATCTGGCCTGCCAAGCCACTGCATCCGGCCTGTGGTGGCAGCGGGGAGCCCCAGGCAGGCTCCTCGGGGAGCCCCAAGCAGGCTCCTCAGCTTGCCCTGCAGCCCTGTGCGCCATGCAGAAACGCAGCTGCAGGGCTCCATTTCTGTTTTAAAACTGGAGGGGAGGGAGGAAGTTTTAGGAGCTGTCCCGCCACCAACATGTTCCCATTGGCCAGTTTTTGGCAGATCCCAGCCAATGTGAGCTGCTTATTGGAGTAATAGGCAGCCAAGAAGAACCATGCCCCTTCTTCTTGGCTCAGTTATTCATGAAGCACAAGGCCAGGCAAGCAGGCTGGCTGGCTGGGAAACATTTTAAGCTCTGCAGTCAGTCAGGCAGGCTAGTTTGGTAGCTGGCAAGTAAGTTTCTTGGCCACAGCCTGCTTCTGGCACCCTAACCCTTTCCTGCCCCAAGTCTCTGCTGCCCACTCTACATACCCACACCCTCTGTTCCCTTCTTACAACCATACCTCCTCCCAGATCTGGCACCCCAATCTCCTGCCCCAGATCACAATCCCCTCCTACCCTAGGTCACATCCCAAACCCCTGCACTCCAGTCCCCTGCCCTAAGTCACAACCACCTCCTTCACCCATATTCCCTTCAGACTCCATTCTCCCTCCTGCACCCCAGTCCGTTCTAATTGGTGTTAGATTCATGGTGCTTTGCCATTTATCCCTTTTTATACAGGTAACCACACTAGCTCCCTTCTGCACCCAACCTCCATCCCAGACCCCACATCTCCTGCATTAATATCATGGAAGAGTGTGGCTTTTGATCACTTCAAAATCTTGGAATGGCCCCTGTCAAAAATTATTTCCCATCTCTGGCTTAGAGGGAACACTGGGAGCAGGGGAGAACAGGCTACTTACCCAGTCTAATGCAGGCAAGGGGGCGGAGCCTCAGCCCTGCTGGCCGTTTTCTAGCTTGTGCGGTTGCCTCCAGTAGTCACTCTGCAGTATCGCATCCCTCTGAACAGCAGCCCCCTCTCTTTCCATATTATGAAAAAGAGTCCCATTCCCAGCACTTCCTGTTTTCTTGGCACAACCAAACCATTGCTTTGAGTTAGGATAAGAAGAAGCTGCATATCAAATTTGATAGTCCTAGCTGTTACTGTTTAGGAGTTTTTGAACAAACCGATCCAGACAGACAGATGCACATTTTTTTAAATATATAGATAAAAAATAGTCTCCTTCCACATTTTCTGATGCAGATTTCAGACACATCGCATTTTGGATTTGCGATTAGTAGTTTAGATACACTTTGAAAATAGAGGCCACTTACCCAAATCTGAATTTGAATTTTGAAAGTTTTGAGTAAGGAGTTTAGTTTGTACTTTTCTCTAAAGTAGAAATTAACATTTGAAAATGTATAAACTCATGGTATAGTACACTGATTCCTACTACAGTGATAACATTGGTGTTAAGATTCATGGTGCTTTGCCATCTATCCCTTTTTATATGGGTAACCACACTAAAGTTACAGTCTTAGCCTGATTTTTTGCGGGGGAGTAGGTCTAGATGACTAAATGATTATATAGTGTTTGGGTGTTGCCATCTCTGTCCAAAAACACAACTTGGTTTAATTAGGTAATTTTGATTTAGTTGTAATTCTTGTGTTTTTTTTTTTTTTTTTTAGATGGAATTGATTAAAAACATAAGCACTGCTGAGCAGCCCTATTTATTCACTAGACATGTTCATTTCCTCAACTTTTCAAGGTAAGGCACTTTACCAGTTACAAGGCTTTCTTGTTTCTTTTTACTGCAGTTAATAGAAATAACGTTTAGCTTCTCTTCAATTGCAAACTAATCTATGTCATTACTGTGAGAAAAATCTCTTTTGATGCTAGACGCTTCACAAATACGGTCAAAAGGTAAGACTTCTTTCTACATAACATTCGAGCAGTTTATTTTAATCAGCCTGCATGCCTCAGCATGCTTTTAACTACAAGAGGTAATTTTAGTTAATGACATTCCCAGCTAAAAAACAAATTATATACTGTATCGTGTATTAATAAAGTGCCTGCCAGATTTCAAATAGCTTTTTGCCTCTTTGAAGTTAGCTTTATTGTAAAATATTAATTAACTTCTTCTTTTAAAGCCTTAAATTCTTGAAAAAGGAGGACGTATGAATTGGCACATTTAACTTACTATACACTGTTATGTACACCTGTTGTGTGTGTCTGCTAATAGGCTAACATCAGACTTCCAGTGATTTTTAGTGGTTTTGTACCAGGAGTGTATTTAACCTAATGGTTGTACGTTTATATATAAAATTGTCATTCATCCCAAAAGATACCAAAATGTTTTATAAATCAGATAGAAGGAATTACATTATTTAATGGAGTGCAGCCCCTTCTGGCCAAAAATGCAACAACTATTAAAAGTGTAGTTTGGAGGAGAGAAAATGAAGAATACTCAACTTGGATTAACCTAATGAGGAATTTTAGGAAGACAGACTGTAATAGTCCTCATTAGAACTTGACTCGGGCACAGAGGCTGACATTTCCGATTTTTAACGGCTACATGTGCATTGCTTTTGTTGACTATGAAAAGGCCTTCGATAGCGTCAAGTTCAATGCAATATTACAGGCGCTTGCAGAGCAGGGCATTAACATGCAATACATCAATTTGTTGAAGGAAGCTAATACAGGCTGTGCAACAGATATTACTCTCCTCGAAACTCCCTTCCGTATCCCAGTCGAGAAAGGCGTGAAGCAAGGTGATACGATTTCACCAAAGCTATTCACTGCATACCTCAAAATGGTTATGAACAAGATCAATTGGAGGAGCAGTGTCAACATAAATGGAGAACGATTATCTCATCTCAGATTCGTGGACGACATTGTATTAATTGCCGAAAGCACCAATCAATTGCAGAACATGCTACGAAGACTTGACAAGAAAAGCAGTCAGGTTGGTCTGAAAATGAACCGCTGCAAAACGAAATACATGCAATCAGACGTCTTGTGATAACAGGAGAAGAAATCGAAGAAGTGGAACAGTGCATATAATTGGGCCAAGAAGTTAATATGCGCCAAGACCTGAACGGAGAACTCTCGCAAAGGATTCGGGCAGAATGGCGTGCATTCAATTCCATCAAGGACGTCCTCAAAGGAAAAATCGATAAGACCACACGAACAAATATCTTCAATTCAACAGTGCTGCCAGCCATGTTGCATGGCAATGAAACGTGGGCACTGACAGAGAAGAGCACCGACTATTGGTAGCTGAAAGGGCAATGGAGTGAGCTATGTTGGGAATTTCCCTTCTGGATCGTATTCCAAATGAAATGATTAAAGAACGCAGCGGCGTGAAAGATATTATTGTGGAAAGCAGACATAAGAAAATGTGATGGGCAGACCACACAGCACGTCTCACGGACAATAGGTGGACCTCAATTATTGCTGAGTGGTACCCGCGAGAACAGAAAAGACTACCCGGTTGGCCTCCAAGAAGATGGGAAGATGACATTGTTAAACATTTTGGACAAACATGAAGAAAAAAGGCAAGAGTGCGAGAAGAATGGTGGATGTGTTGTGATCGGCGCAGTCTTAATGATAGCTGAAGATCGATCAATCCAGGTGACGTGGTCATGACCTGTTTTGCATTTCATTAGAAAAGTGGTTCTTCAACTAGCACAATGTCCCCAAAACCATATGGGACCACTGATTTAGTACTAATTTAGATGGAAAAGTGGCACAATAGCATTTTCTGCCACCCCCTGGAAATCTGGAAATCTTTGCAAGGGCTGTCCCAAATTCTCACCTATTTTTTTGTAATTTTTCCAATACAACGTATACCAAAATATCAGATTCATCATAATATACAAAACAGATAAAGGAAGAAGAAGAAGAAGAAGGAGAGAATTTTCACATCTCTTTTCAAGATCCATGTAAATGATAGACCTCTAAAAAGTCAGCCCAAATTGCTTTGAATTTTTATGGAATTCCCTTTTTGCAGAATACTGGTTACTTACCAGCTATAAGATCATCCACATCACTGGACCTCACGCATCAATGTTTGGTGGAGATCAACTTTTTCATTTTTGCAGGATTAATATTTTAGCAATCAAAGCAGCATGTTGAAATGACCCTGGCTTGTTGCCAAATAATCTCCAGGTACCAGGAATATAGCCAAGAATGAAACTTTAGGGGGAGGACTCCAATTTAGCATCTAATATCAAATTAGTTCCTTGAGCTATGTCATACCAGAAATTCTTGATAGAAGGTCACTTTCAAAATATACGAGCTAAAATAACCTCTGGAAGTTACATTTCCAACTACATTTGGCCTTTGAGGTCCATTGCCATTAGCCTATGTAAAGATGGGTATTTTTGAAAAAAAAAAGACTTTTGGTGTATAGAATTGGGTCAGAGATAATTGTGTATCCAACGTGATGCAGCAGGAGAGTGAGCCATTTCCCTCCCCTCCCCAGTACCAGCTCTGCGGTGTGCCTGCCCTGTTCCCTGCATTGCTACCTCTATCAGAGGCAGCAGTGGGTGATAGGGGCGGGGGAGGCTGCTGCAAAGCAGCCTCTATCCACGACAGCAGCCTCTGTCCGTGGGGAGCTCGGACCATGCACGGACAGGGGTTACTGCCACCCTGCTCTGCTGCCTCTGTATCAGAAACAGCAGCACGAGTCAGCAGGCAGCTGGTTTGTGCAGAGAGTTGGTTTTTAAACTGGCTCCCCTAGCAGACCCGCTCCACCTGCCACCGTGCTGCTGTCTCTGATAGAGAGGCAGCAGTGCAGGGTGGCAGGAGGCTCCTCAGGAGTGGGGTTGGGGACACACTGGCTTCCGGCCCCTCCTGCGGGGCCTATCGAATAGTTATGTAACGCATTACTATTCAGTTACACGATATCTAACATTCCCAGTAAGGAAACTTTCTTTTTCATTTAAGATCATTAAAAGTAGTATTCTTTTGCTGCATAGTGAAGTTTTAAAGCTATATTAAGTTAATGTTCAAGTGTAAACTTTTGAAAGAACCGGCATAACATTTTGTTTAGAGCTGCAAATATTTGAAAGTTACGAACTGCTTCCATTCCCAAGGTGTTCGTAACTCTGAGGTACTGACTACATAAAGTGTGAGACAACTTTGTCCAGTCTCACAGAAAATGTTTTAGCTAATATCTTAGTATCACAATTGCTTAAAGAAATAGGCCTGTAATTAATATGTAGACCAAGGTCTTCATTAGGTTTGGGAATAACTGAAATGGCACCTTCTCTGAGTAAGAGGGAGAGTTTGCTTATTCTTTACCTCATTGGACATATTCAGTAACTTAGGGATTAAAGTTTGAGAGCTTTCTGTAAAATTCAGCTGCGAACCTATTTGCAACACAAGTCTTTGCTACTTTCATTCCTTTATAAACTGATTTCTAGAGGGGCACTTAAAAGCTTCTGAGAGTCCGCAATCTGTGACAGAGACAATCCACTAAAAAGTTATCTAGAGCATCTTCACTTATTCACTCTTCAGCTATATATAGTTTTGAATAAAACTGTTTGCAAACACTAGAAAAAAAAGCTGTTGAAATTGTTTATTAATATCTGACTGTGTGTACCATGAATAACACGAGTGTTATTTGTGTTAGCCTTATGATTAAATCTGTATACTCACAGCTTACCAACTGTCTCACTAGATTCCCAGTAGTTTGGTTTCAAAGAGAATAAGCAAGCTCAGTCTTTTGTGACAAGTTTGTTGATTGCTTATCTTAAACTGATGAGGAGTCTGAGTTGATTCTGAGGAGGGGATAGAAGCATAGTCTATGTCCAGGGCCATAAATCCCTTCAAAGGGTTATCAATTCCTTGTTCTCTCCTTTTCTTTTTATGGGTGGTATAAGATATGAGACAGCCTCTGATGAAGTCATTAAAGGCTTCACAATTTGAGATGATGAAGCAGGGAGTAGAGGTTTTTTTTTTGGGGGGGGGGTGTTTTTTTAAGTCCTAACTCCTGCTGGATAGAGTTGTCAAATGATGTATTAAATTGCAGAGAAGTATTTGATCTGCACATTTTAGTTGGGGGTGCAAACTCTGGGAACCTAAAAGACACCTGTATAGGAGCACTAGAAGACTTACCCAGCATTGCTCAGGTCCTAAAGGACAGAGAGTTGGGAGCGTAGGAAGTGCAAGAGTGAAGTTGTGGGGGGGAGGGGAGGGAAGAAGGATTCAGGGAGGGAGGGTTGGGGGAGTCTTTCTCTCCCTCTCTGGCCAGTAGGTTCTTTTGGCCTCCTCAGCCCCCCATCTAGCAGGGACCTTCTTGTCCTTTTTCCTTCCCCCACTCCCCCTCCCCCCCACTTTCCTTCAGCTGGCAGGTGTGGCTCCCCCACCCCCCAGCCAGCAAGGACCTTCTGTCTCCTCACAGCTCCTCCCCGACCACCAGGGGCCTCTTCTATTTCCCCTTAACCCCTTGCATAGCCACTAGTGGGGGTTTCTTCTGCCTTCCCCCAGCCACAGTCACTAGCCATCTCTTCTGTCTCCTCCTAGCCCCTCCCCCCAACCACCAGGTGTCTCTTCTGTCTACCCCCAACATGCCCACAAGGAGCTTCTTCTATCTCCCCCTAGCCTCCCACAGCCATCGGGGGGCTTTTTCTGTCTCCCCTCAGCCAGTAGGGACCTCTTCTCTCTCCCTCCGCTCCAGCATTGTAGCTAAGGGTCTGGGAACAGGGGAAGATTTGGGGCAGAGAGGTTACTTACCTGGTCTGGTGGCAGGCAAGATGGTGA